GCTGGAGTTGATAAATACCAATTACCGATTATATGCCGATTGTAACCTTTCCCATTACATACAAAAGCAAGATGTTAGCGGGTCTTAGTGGGCTTTTTGTTCAGTGGAAAAGGGGCTAAACTAACTCTATGGACAGACAAACACATTTACAGATGGGACTGTCAGGTTCAAGTGTGACAAAAGTCAAATTGCCAGAATAAGCTATATTCACATCATGTTGCTTGTAAATATTTCGGAAGATTTCAAAAACAGCAATAAACACAAAAAATATGTTTTTCAGCATGGTTACTTTTCATGCTTATGCTGTATTGTGTTACACATGGGCTGCTGTGACCTCTCATAGACTGGAAGTTAATCAGCAAAGTAATCACAGACACTTGTTACCAGAAGAAGTCATATGACTTGGACTCTTTAACTCTAATGACTTGTGACCTCACTTGAACTTGACCCTTTCTACTTATAAGTGCTTGATACCTTTTCCCAAGCCCAAAGATTAAAAAGTATGTAATTTGTAATTAATTAATTAATTAATTAATTAATTAATTAATTAATTTCCTGCACTTTTCTGAATCATCTAACATTAACACTATTCATTTCCCAGATGATCCGCTTTGTTTGAAACAGCCCGGCAGCATCCAGTCACGTTGCAGGAGAACCCTTAAGAACTAATGTTAGGTTACTGAGCGCCAGTTGGGAAAAAAGCTATAATTAATTAGTCTACAAAAAAATATAGTGGTCAACAAAAACGCCAACTGCAGAATGCAAAACATGGGGATCTAAAATTACAAATGGAGATGCAAAAACTTGTAACAAACTTGGTTTAACAAATAAATACAAATTTTAAAAAGCATTTGTGGTTGTTGTAAATTTAATATATTATTACTCTGTTGGTAGAATGGCATCAGATGTGGTGCACAAAACCATCATAGCTTGTTTAGGACTTTACAACTCAAAGTTTAGGGCTTGAGACTCGACTCGGGTTTGTCAGCCTAAACTCTGGACTTGACATGGGACTTGAGTACCAAGACTTGATACTTTTCTTGTGCCTAGTAAAGCAGTGACATGGTCCCACCCCTGCTTGTAACATACTTTACCATGGGTCTTCAGCAATTCTAGAAACTTTTTGGAGGAAAATATAATAAAAATAATGCTTTATAACATTTTTGATGTTACAACACCAGGACATTGTTAAAAACTAATTGTTTGAATTGCTGGATACCAGGGAGTTAAAGGCTAAAGTTTAAAAAATGATGCCTTGTTGATTGTGTCTCTCTGACCACTGAAATTTCAGCAATATCTGTCCCAGTATGAATGTGGCTGCCTCCTGAGTGTTGCTGAGTTTTGTCGGCCATTTGTAATTCAGCCAGTAAAACCAAATTAACTGTCTGATCACCTGACTGCTCATTTTTCTTAACCTCCCAGATTAAGCAATTCATTTAGTAAGTGTGGTGGTATTATTACTGATAATGGACAAAAGTAAGAATTAGTATTCAACTCAACTCCCAGTCAGTCTACAGTTCTGTCATCAGGATGTAATTTCAGCAAATGTGGCATCGCTTAAAATCTTACGGTTGGCATTTAGCCTTAGCTTTCATACATGTGTGTGACAACAAACGCTGAACAAAATTAGACTACACACACACACACACACACATGAGAGAGAGAGAGAGAGAGAGAGAGATGCAGGCAGACATACAATGGAAATGTCTTCACACCCAGCAGCAATTTCTTTTCAACAGGATAAAAACAAGGCTGAAACGTTAAAAAAAAGCCCTTTGAGGTGGGTCCTTTCACCCTGACAGTGAGAGAGAGAGACGCAGAAAGAGAGAAGGAGAGAGAGCAGCCACCCCTTTTCAATTGGTAAGCATTCAGCCAGAAAGCTCAGGCATTCACTATTCTGTTCTAGTTTTCTCTCTTTTTCTCTCAGCTGCTATGAAAATATGTTAACACTAGTAAACTTGTCCAATTCTGCAGACTCCACAACAACCACCAAATCACAGTGACGATAACCAGATAATATCAGAGACAAATGTTGAGGAAAAATGTAAAGAAAAAGAGTACTGACTAAAGAACAGTAACAAGCTGAGAGTGGGTAAAATAATACAGGCAGGAAAACAGCACAAGAGGGACATAGAGGTACTGTAATGTCTAAAAGAAGAGACAGTGTGTGATATTGACAGATTTCAGGAGAATACCGATCACCTGCTTTGAAGGAGCTATAATAGGCTTGGGGAGAGGGGGAAGGGCAATGAGAACAACAACCACCCCCCAGCCCTGCCTCACTCTGATGTCCTCTGCTTCTCAGACTGTGTGTGGAGACCTCCTGGGCTCCAAATCTGACAAGTTAATGCGACTGTTACTTCTTTCTCAACCAACTAACACATCAACAAAACGCACACAAATGTCTACAGAAAGTGTGAAACATGTCAGAATTCTACCTGTGTTTTTTTCTACCATGTTACGTTTTAATGCCTTTGTTCATTCTGTGATGTGAAAACATTAGACCTCCACACATTCAGAGAAATAAAAAGCGCGTCCTGGTTATACTTCAATTATAAAACCCTAGCATCTCTCTTGCACGGCTGCTGATATCACTGTTAGCTGAAGAGTCAGTCACAGTGGACAGTAGAAGAGGAAGCTGTACAAGCATCTGGTGCAGAGCAATTCTCAAAACATACAGTACATTCAACAAAAAGATGGCAGTGCCGAGCCCAAACCTATTGTTCTAAAATAGTCCTGACCAAATGACAAACTGACTAAATGACAAGATGATAGCTGGAAGCATGCAGTCATTTCCTAACATGCTCCTTACAGTCACACACCAGGAAGGAGTCATGGCAATAATGTTACTGCTTTAAAACCAGCCACACAGCCATAATATCACCTTATGACATGGTACTGTATTTTTCCCTTTGGGGGTTGTAGCACCCAGAAATGTAATCATTTCCTGAAAATTGCACTTAATGTGATCAAATATGTAATAAAACCCTATAATGTAATAATTTGACCAATACTGTAATACCTTTTAGGTGGGTTTTTTTAACTGATGATGTAATCATTTTCATGGATGATATAATAATGTAAAAAAAAAAAAGTATGCTTTTTCTCAGAGGTGTAAAGAGGGAAAGTACACAACATTTATAATACTGTTAGTGTCATGTTAGCCAACTGAAAACATACTGACACTGATTTCATGTTTGGAAATGTAAACTCAAGGCTTGATGTAGCATTTGAAATTTACAAAATGACAAGTGGTACATTGTTGTCCGGCAAAGATGCATTGAACTAAAATCCCTATCAATGGCAAATTAATCTGCCCATACCCATGCTGATTGGTTGTTGTGCGGGGATCGTCCATTAGACCTGAGTGGATCTCAGATTAGACATCATCAGAAGATGAGAAAAGTGGCTAACGTTACACATGACAGCAATAAAGGAAAAACAGTTGATTCAATCTCCATGAAATGTTCTTGTAAAAATCTCTGCATGGGTAGAGGAAAGTTTACACACCCAAATAATAACCTAGTAAATACCAATAATTATCTTACTTAAGAAAACTAAAATTAGCACCCTGTGGTTGTATGCCTCCCAGCAAAAGTCAAGTTTCTCTTACAGTTTACATCCATGACTATGAAAACATGGATGCTTCACACACATCTCACCCCCGACAGCACAGAAGATCTATACAGTCAGCACAGTTTCAAGGTGGACACAAGATTAGTGTCATCAATTCAGCATCTGACCAAATATCTCCACTTCTGTTCCTGAGATGTGATATTGAGCTATGGCCAGAAAAGCATTTTATGCAAAACATTATAATGTCACAGTGAAGCTGACCTTTGACCTTTTGGACGTAAAATGTCATTACTTCATTATTTTATCCTATTAGACATTTGTGTGAAGTTTTGGCATAATTAGAATATGAATTATTGAGTTATGGCCAAAAACATATTTTGTGAGGTCATACTGACTTTGACCTTTGACCGCAAAATTTTTATCGGGTTATTCTTCAGTCCAAGTGAATGTTTGTGTCAATTCTAAAGAAATGTGGAAGGTCACACTGACTTGACCTTTGACCACCGAAATCCAATCAGTTCATTGCTGAGTCCAAGTGAACGTTTGTGCTAGATTTTAAGAAATCCCTCGGCCACGGCTATCACTGGCACGGAGGCATAAATACATTCAAGCACTATAATCAAACTCCTTCAATAGTTTAAGGAGAATAACAACAAGCAGGAAGAAGGTAGAGTTTGGTGTTCTGTTTAAATGCAATGATTTTTTATTTACTGTTAGCTAGAGATCCATTAACAGCAACCCGTCGTTACACCCGTACAGTTTTAATATTTGTTTTGGGTATCAGTATCAGTCAGGACATTTTATTACATAATTAGCCAGGTTATTACATTATTGGGTTTTATTACATTTTTAAGTGCAAAATGTATATAATTTCAATTATAACAATGCTTAACTCAATATTACAGGAAGTGATTACATTATTGGATGTTTCAGGGATCTTTGCGGTCAAAAGAGTCGAGTGTTATTTTTAAAAAGATAATTATTTGATCAAACACATATTTTTTTGTTGTAGCCTCATACTCAGCTTCTTTCTTTTGCTACATCAGAATGGAGACTACAATATTCAGCATTTTCACATATGTCAGAATGTACAACAAGTCAAACTAGACCTGTGCAGTCCATACCAAATCAGACCAGACAAGAATGAGACAGGCCAGATCACATCAGACCAGTAGAGACCAGACCAGATGACAACAATCTTACACAATGGTGTGTAAGTCCGGCCAGCAGTTGCATAACTCCACATTCCCCTGGATCGCTATTAAAACACACATGCACGCACACACATCTCATTTCTCCTCATTCCACCTCATCTTTTTCTAATTTCTCTCCTTCCTTTCTGTCCTGTCTTTCAGCTGTCTCCAAGTTGAGAAGTAGTGAGTGAAACCATACACAGAAGCTGTATAGATTGCTCTTAGACATACCTCTATCTTGTCAGTTTTAGCATCTCCCCAGTATAGCTTTCCTGCTGCATAATCGATAGCCAGTCCATTGGGCCAGCCCAGAGAGCTGTTGAGCAGAACCACCCGCTCTGTCCCATCCAGGTTGGCCCGCTCAATCTTAGGATGCTCGCCCCAGTCAGTCCAGTACATGTAGCTGAAGGAGACAGGGGCAATAAGACAAGATGAGGCTTACCTCCAGTCCCAGGGACATTATACACATTTACCATGTATATTAGTCTATCAATTTCAGTTTTCGAAAATTCTTGAGTAGAAATGTGCATTGCTACTTACGGACATCAATATCGTACCTTAAAACACACAGACAAGCTATTACCAGTAAAATTTAATGCTATGCTAGTTTGAGATTTTTCCTAACTTTTCCAAACACTTTAATCAGTCAGATTGAATTAGTGGTTGTTGATGCTGCTTGATAAGGCCAGGTATTTTCCCTCTCTAGTGTCATCCCCAGTGCTGGGATGCAGTGCTATAGCCAGTCGCTAAAATGTATGAAACATTGGAATTCTTATTAGTGCTTGGTTTGTCTTTTATCCTCCAACATGAACATTTAACCCTATGGGCCCTAGGCCTTTTTGGGGTATTTTTACTGCCTTTACTTTTAAGCTCATATCACAGTCATTATAAAGGCTACATACACATGCTATATCTTGTTGTTGTTGTTTTTTTTTTCAGGACAATCTGGGCTAACCAGATTTGCCATCATGCCATGTCCTTCTATGTGCCTGTATTTTATATTCATTTTTATATCAATGAAAATCCACAGAGAAGACGGGTGTGAATTTGGACTCACTATGCGTCGTTCGGGCCCATAGGGTTAAGGGCTGCACAAGTCTTGTCCACACTAGGGCTGACTTTAAAGTACAAAGAAATTTGTTTCTATTTACTCTACTCATTATTAGACTTGCACCGATTACAATTTTTTGGGCCAATAGCGATTTCCGATTTGCAGAGTGTTTGGATGGCTGATTCCCATTTTGGTCGACTCCAATTTCATTTTTTTCAAACCACTTTACAGCACACAAGATATTGCAATATTTTATATCTTTGCTTTATTAGAACATTTTAACCAAGATACAACCAGCTTTTCAATAATCATCTCAAACAAACAAATAAAAACAGTGACACAGGTTAAGACGCTGTATTTGACCGGCGTTTTAAATGGGCATATTTTAGACTGACCGGCCGGTCGCAGGCCATGGCTGATCACGTGAAACCCAGCCCGATTCTGAGCACTGCCGATAAATCTGTGCAAGTCTAGTTATTATACTTGATTAACATTAAATGTAATAAGTCTAAAAAAAAAATACTGAAATCGAGCATTCGTTTTTAACTATAGAGCATCAGCTCTCCCCAGAAGGCTGAACCCCCCCCCATCAAAAAGATTGGACAACATGACCTCAGAGTCCTCAATGGTAGCTACTGCCTTGCAGAGCAGGTGAACTCTAATACATACAAACATGCTAACACCTACCCATTAATGGGGTCCAGGACAATAGCTCTGGGTTCATCCAGGTTCTCCGAAATAAGAATTTTCCGAGAGGTTCCATTAAGCCTGGTAACCTAGAATAGCACACGATGAGACACATACATATCAATACAACATATTTACAGTATTACAATGTTTGTCTTCATCCAGCCTGTTTGATCATTTTCTTTGATTGTCTTTTGTTTTTTTCCATAAATAAGAATCACCAAATGATGGATGTTTTCTGTGTTAAGCTGCACAGGGGTGATCCAGTGAGTCTTTTCACATTTATTTTACAATATCAAAGTATAGCTGGGTGATTGGTCTAAAATAATATCGCAATATTTTTTGGCAATATCGCGATACACAATATATATATATCTCGATAATTTGAAATCTCCTCTAAACCACTGTAAACTACTAAAATACAAAATTATTAAATCAACTACAAGTACAATAAAGTTTAATAAAGTAGCTACTGTCACAATAAAGTTAAACAAAGTGCAAAGTTAAGTATTGTTATAATTAAAGAAATCAAAACAGAACCACTCTCCTATAGAACAGGTCTATACCTTGTCCTTTTATTAAACAAACTAAATAGGGGCGCCCCATGTACAGAGGCATTGCCTCACTGCAGCGGTCACAGGTTCAAGTCAGGCTTGTAACCCTTTGCTGTGTGTCAGTCCCCACTCTCTCTATGTCTCCCCATTTCACACACTGTCCTATCCATTCAAGGCAAAATCCCACAAAAAATTATCTTTAATCAAACTAAATAGCCTTGTTTTATTTATTTTGTTTACACGACGGCATGTAATTTCTGTTTCTACATGGTGGTTCTCCTCTGCTCTCTGCATCGCGCATGGCGGAGTTCCACCCCAATGCGCGTGCACACACACACACACACACACACACACACACACACGCAGGTGAGCACACTCCCACCAGCGGACAGAGAGCGCACCTCGGTAAATATGTCGCATCAACCACCTGAAAAGCAGACAAAAATATCTGCATTTTTTAAACACTCCCAGGGTGGTGAAGATGGTGAGGAAGAAATGTTCAGATGTTAAGTTCAATGTACAGTTCAAATAACTGTTCAGTTGTTATATTGATTGCTGTCATTAAAAGACACACATGAACACCATGATTCCTTGTTTGTGTCGGTGTCCATCTGCCCCCCAAAGCTGTAAACCTAGGGGAAACACTGCTCAAATGACTCAATCAGGGGGTTTTAACATTCCATAAACTAGGTTTCCAATAAGCACAATACAGAGAGCCCTAATATAAAGATGTACCTCAATGCGGTCAGTGCCAGTGTCAGTCCAGTACAGGTTTCTGGCCACCCAGTCCACAGCAATGCCATCTGGGTGGTTGATCTCCGTGGTAACCAACATCATGGCATTGCTACCATCGATGTGGGATCGCCTGATGGCCCGAACCTCATCATCTGTCCAATAAACGTAACCCTCAACTGGGTCATAGTCGATAGCTATGGCATGGCGAATGTCATCAACCTGCACGAGCAGAGGAACAATGTTTAAGAGTGCAAGACAGGACTGATACATGTGTGTGTGTGTGTGTGTGTGTGTGGGTGTGGGTGTGTGCGTGTTTGTGTGTGTTTACCTGTAGTACTATGTCAGTGAAGTCTGGCAGGTCCAATGAGATTCTCCTCAGGTCAGTCCGTCGAGCCAGCAGCAAAACCTGCTCTGCTCCTATACAAAGCAGACAAGTTTTATTAATTGTTAAGGATCAATGCATGTTGATTTCTAACAGCCAAAGAGTGCTCCCATATATATATTATACATATATATTGAAGCTTTACGGTAGTTAGAAGAAAGCTGATGGGCTTAAAGATTGATTAATTACTGCATATCACCACAAGCATAGCGTTGATATTCATAACTTAACCCTTAAAATAACATAATTTCTAAAACATATTTGTATCTGCTTCTATGCAGATGACTTTCACCTTTACAGAATGTCCTGGTAAAACTTGGCAAAACAGTCAGTGGTGCTGGATGTCTTAGGATTTCTTCTAAGTTAATGACACACATAGATGATATGGTATTGTGCATCCATAAAGTTTGGTAACAAACAAGAGACTGATTTAAAATAAATAAATAAAGGTCAAAATCAAAGCAGCAGACCCTGAGATGTCTCAGTCTTTGTCTGCCTAGTAAATGTCCACATCTTTTAAACTCCACTCATTGTAATGCATGTTACAAAGTAATCACACAGAGTTCAAATGACTTTTTCAAACAACATTTCATGCCGGGGCTTCAGGACATTTGGATCACTACGGACGAGCAGTATGGAGATATTTTGTGGTTTCAATTATGTGTTTTTTGATGTTTGAATCTGGGGCGCTATAAGCCTCCATTAGGTGGAGTTGTGTTGCTACCCCCTCTCCCCTTGGATCTCTGCAAGTGATGTGAGGACTCACACCTTCACCTGAGCCTCCCTCGGCATATGGGTGAGTAGATAATGGCTGAATTTTCATTTTTGGGTGCACTATCCCTTTAAGTCCGAGTCCTGATACCATCATCAGAGTTATTTTCTCATACTTGACAAAGCTGTCTTCAAATACAAGTGTGAAGAATGAATTTAAGGTGTGATGCTGACATTCCCATCAATGCTTAAATGACAAAGGCCGTCCGATCTTATTTTCTTCAGATGAGGCATGACACACTAAAGTCCTTCAGCCTCCAGCCTTTTGCAGAATTTGAAGGTCATGCTGTGCACCTTGTAATACAACCAATCCAACAAAACACCACCACAAACAATAGCCCATACCACATAGTTGAATCAACACCTCCCTGACACTTTCTCAACAGCAACCAAATATTATGAGCCTCACTAAGGTTCAACTGCTCTATTTTGTACTGTTACTGGGCCACCCTTACAAGGAGCATTAGGTAATCCAGGGAAAACCCTTTGAATCCAACACACTAAAACACCAACAGCTTGAAAAGACATAATAGTAGTTAGTTTTGGGATCAGATAAGCTGTAATTCCCCTTGTGTGTATATTGCGGTAGAGAAAAATTGTTACATTTGGGTCTGTCTGTAGGAAAATTAAAAGAGAACCAACCTTTCAGAACCAGCACAAATACCACATTATCTAAATGGTCCAATGCAAATATTGTGCAAGTGGCATATAAATGCTTAATGATGTTTAATGACATAATGATGAAATGACATGATAAATAATGTTGTAGAAGGTCATGCAATCAAAAGTGAGATGTTATAAACAGAATTAAGAACAGAAAAAAAAAAAACAATTTACAGAAGAGGATTGGGGCTACGTGTAAGAACTGCATTTGAATTCTGAGTTTAAAGACAGAATTCTTACTTAAAATTTTTCCCGTGGCCCTAATCCTTTTCTGTGAAAATGAGTGATAAAGATCCTTAAGATTGATTTTTTATTTACAGATTTTTCATCTTATGACAAATTATGTGACATTTTTAGCTATTTTGTTCAGTTTACATTGCTAAAAATTAAAATATCAAAAGTAGTAGGGAGGATTGGTAGTGTAGCTGCGGGGCTTGCCAACCTATGCCTACGGAGGTGGAATCATTTTGCTGCACAGAATGGGATTCGGTGCTACCATCGTTGGGGAGGCTAGAGATATATCATCAGGAGGAAAACTGCCGCAGAGAGTGCATCACAAGGAGTGAAAACTTTGCAGCAATCACTAATCCTGGCATGATTGAAACATTTTTTCATGCTCCTAAGATAAACTGGAAAAAACGCCCCAGGCCTGCAGGAGCTGATGGACAGCTTTCAGTCGAGTGAGTAATATCGCTTTATGATCGTCCGTGTCGTCTCTTTGTGACCTAGCGTAACATTACCTGTCCCAGGGCCAGTTGCAGCTGTTGCTCACCGGTGTATCCCTCCGCGCAGGACGTAAACACACTATACTTCCGTGTATCAAACTTCTTCTAAAACGACTAAAAAGGACTTTCGAATTAATGTTTAAACATGTTTATTTTAAATGCACGTGTAGAAATACCAGCTTCAGGGTTTCTGTAACGTTTATTTGTTCACTTTTACCAAGCAGGCTACTGACCCCCTATAGACTTCAATTGTATTCGCTAAGCTAAGCCGCAATGCTAACCGCTGAGACCCAGCCACTGGACGTACAGACACAAAAAAGATATCGATCATGTTGTCTCAATATGAAAATGATAGAGAAAGGGCATAACTCCCAAATCGTCGGCGTATTCCTTTAACATATTGTGGTGTGTTGGGACTAAATGGATGGAATTTCCCAGCGTGCCGTGACACAATGTGTTTAAGACCGTAAGCCAAAGAAAACTGAATTTAAATGTGTTCTGAATCACTCACGTTACCCATTACGCAGTGATTAATGTTTGTGTATTTCACAATGGTTCTAATGTGTTACAGTTAATGTTGTGGTAAAAGACATTTTGCACCATGAGTAACGTCGTATACACAGTTAGTGACCCCCCGCCTGTGTGGATATTAGAGTATCTAACAGTTGTGCAGAGGTGAAATAAAGTGCACATCCTTGGTCAGAATGTACCTCTTAGTCTTAGGTTTGCCACCATGGTTATTCTGTAGTTCAATGAAATTAAAAAAAAAAAATTGTACAATGTTAGCTCTGCAGTAGTCTGGGCACCTGTCAAGGGTGAACCCTGCCTCTCACCCAGTGTCAGCTAGGATAGGCTTCAGCACCCCTTGACCCCTAACAGGATAAGCGGTTACGCAAAATGAATAAAGAAGTTGTAAAATGTGAACTTAATGTTTTATTGTGATATGACATAGAATTAAATGCTTCAACAACAAAAAAGTTGTGTTAAACTGACATAAACTTCCTGTCAGACAAGGGTCTTATGACACATTTATTTTGCATCTGGTGTAGTCAAACCTTGTTACTGTATTGATCTAAACAAAAGGTTGTGAGTGCAAACTGTTTCCAAAAAAAAATAAAAAGTGAGCAAATTGGAGTTTACAATGTATACAACAGCTCCACAGACAGTGGACTGACAGAAATGACTGCTTCACAGCTCTGAATCATGGAGGTCCAGGTTTAACACTTTTATGGCAATGAGCTTTAAACAATCGTATCATGTGCTTAGAAACTTCACTGAAAGAGTCTAACGAATGGTCTTTACAACTCGAAACCCTAATAGCAGTGGTGGAAGATCCTTTAGTTAAGTAAAAGTATCAATATAGTAAGTAACAAGGCTACCCTACACAGAAAAGTCATGCATCTAAATCCTACTTTAGTAAAAGAACAGAAGTGTTATGAACATAAGTGTTGAATTTCCCCTCAGGGGGATTAATAAAGTATATAAAATTAACAAAAATAAATTAAATTAAAATTAGTATCAGCAGTAAAAGCAGTGGTTGTGCACTAAGATCCCTGTAACTAAAACACTGACACATATACAGTAACATTTTCAGATTGTCAATACTGATGCATCACTGAGCAGGGTTTTACTGTTATAGCTGTTCAGATGAATTTGAGGGGTTGTGAGATGATTAATGGGAGAGGAAAGAATAATGTTCGACATATCTTAGACTCCTCTGCTGCTCAGTCAGTATCATTATAAACTTGACATATGAAGGTTTTACTCCCATTGGAAAAACCATGCATTTCTCTGAAGCTTGTGTCATTAAAGTATAGATATCAAGGCACCATCTGGCCGACCCAAGCCTGAGTATTTGGTATCTGGACTAAAGCCAAACCCAACAGTCCAATATCAATCTATCTGTGGAGAAAAAGATTTTATGTCTGTTTCCAAACAAAACAAAGTTCTGATACACAAATCTCTTTTGACTTTTCCTGAATCTTTGCTTTTTTGCGGGATATAGAATAATTTGACCTGTTTGGGCCTGAAACCAAAACAAGGAGAAGGTTTAGGAGGGAAATATCTCTTTGGTGTAACCGCTAACGACTTGTAAGAATCTGACATGTGGTCTAATCTCTACCAATTGAGTGTAGAAGTAGCAACTGCTGAAACAGAGTGGAGTAGAAGTATAAAGTAGCACAAAATGTAAATGCTGAAGTAGAGTTAAAATACTTCAAATTGTACAGAAGTGCAGTACTTGAGTAACCATACTTGGTTACCTCTGCTCAAAGAAGAGAGAATATGAGGCCAAGCGTAATAAAGTTTGTGAATGCGTACAAAAATCTGCAAATGTGTATTTAGAATCTGTGTGTGCGTAATCAGATATGTAAATGTGTAAAAAAATCTACAAATCTGTATTCAGATTTGCAAGTGTATTGCGATCTGTAAATCTGTACAATGATCTGTAAATCTGTACACAGATCTGCAAATGCGTACAGAGATCCGTAAATATGTAGAAAGATTTGTAAATACCTATGTCTTCAGCTTTAACTCAGTCGGGCCTCTCAATTGGCTCTCTTTGTACACGTGATTTTTGCTACTCTTCTGCCATGTGCAATGCGCAAATGCGTGAGAAGATTTGTGTCTGTAACGCAAAGTGTGCGTCATCCTGAGCACAGGCTGACAGGCTCAAGTTGCCGCCCACTAGCTTTTGCTCTGTGAGCGGAGGCTGAGCAGACAACATCCTCATAAATAAAGTTACCAACTTTATTTTAACAGTGCTTGGCAATACTAAGTTACTCATGACAACCACTGCAATAAACCTGAACATGTACTTTCAGAGAGCAAACGAGAATCGAGCAGCCTGTCCATACAACAATAAAAACAGCACAGCAAAGTAGCGCCTGTGAGCCTGTGCTCAGGGCAAAACAGCCTGGAGGTCAGATCGCAATACACTTGCAAATCTGAATACAGATTTGTGGATTTTTTTACACATTTACATAGCTGATTACGCACACACAGCTTCTAAATACACATTTGCAGATTTTTGTATGCATTCACAAACTTTATTACGCTTTTACAAATTATTTTACACATGTACAAATCTGATTATGCACACACAGATTGAGATACGCATTTGCAGCTATTTTGCTACCATAATGGCCCCATAAGAGAACACTAACGCCAGCATGAAAAGGTAACCGTTACCTAGCAGCTGCAGTAGAAAGAGCAGCAATATGGCCTAATAATAATAACAATAATAACATCCTACAGAAAAATAAAAGTCATACACATGGATTCCAAAAACATTGATCTATCTGTGGTCAAAGAGATTTGAAGCCTGAGCCGAGCTCTACTATTATCACATTTCTTGCCCCCTCCTTGCTCTATCCAGTCTGGAAACAAAGGGCTCTGCTGTCCTGAGGGATCCTCCGCTGTGTTTTGGCTGTTGGTTCAGATTTAACAGGAGCCAAACTCACCTCATGGGAGACAATTAACTGTTTTTCTTTGTCTCTCACACCTCTGACTCTGAAGAGCTCACATTTATGCAGTTCAAAGTGTCTCTCGCTTTCTATTCCCCTATCTGCTATGTCTTTCTTTCCTGTTTTTGTCTCACATTCACCTGAATCTTAAGGTGTACTATGCAGAATTGTCAGTTAGTGTTTGTAAACAGCATCACCAGTGAAAGTGAAAGCCAACCCCGGACTCACTATCGACTTGGAACAACCTTTGTCTGCTTGGTGTTTCAACTCACTATATTTGCAGGTTTTTTTCAGCACTATTTCAAATAGGTCTCTAAAACTAAAATTCACAAGGACAATAACTTATCTGTAATTAAATTGTGTACTTCGAGTTCATAATCTTAAATATCTAAATTTAATGTCAGATAGCTCAGATAACAAAAACACATTGTTCTGCTATTCATGCAAATCTTTCTTCCTCTCTCTCTCTCCAGCTGCATTTTCACAACCAATCAAAATCTGGCATCTCTCAGCCCTGGCACCAATCAGATTTGACATTGAAGGTTGTTCCATCGTTACCTAAATGACTGAGGCGAGGGGGGATAAGTGAAGGGAAAGAATGAAAAGGAAGGAGGGAAAGCATCTGTGATTCCACTCTTCTCTTCGCTTGACTTCATTCTGAGACACTTAAAGACCCCTGACAAACAGTCACACACACACACCCACACACACACACACACACACACACACACACTCACACATGCTCTGCTGCCAGCGTAATAACAAACGCCTTCAATTTAACCAGCCAAGCAAAACAAATTAGAAGCACGGACACAAAGACATACTCACACACACACACAAACACACAAACTGTGGGATGACACAATAGAGCATTGTTGTTTTTATTGTCAACAGTGGCTAAGTGATTGGTTGGCATGCTTCATTCAAATTTAATACATTCACATAACACAGGCTAACAGACACAGACGCACTCTAACACAGTGTTGTGTTTTTGCAGAATAAGGCTCTATTGTTTCAGCATCGTGGGAATCAACATGGCGGCTGGTCAGTTAGTGACCCACTCGGCTACCAGAGAGGTCACTTCTACTTGTTTCCAAGCTGATACACTCTGTGCTGAATCATGACATGACACACCATAGACAATGGTGATGAAGGTTAACAACAGCAAATACTAATTACTCTGTGTATCCACTGGCACATGAAGCCACATGAATTCTTGGCTTCATGTGCACTGCTGAATGTAACTTCCAACAAAAAATATATATAATATATACAGGGCTACCAACTCTCACACACTGACCCTGAGCCTCACGCAAGTGACACTTTTCACACACTGTCAGACCACACATCCAATCTCTCACACAGTGAATAACTAGCCCCTTTTACACTGCCAGATTTTTAGAGCTGTCCCAAATACCATTTTTTAACATTCGGACCTTCAGCAGAACAGTCTACTTCAGTACATTATTCTATGCTTTCTTTTGATTTTCACATTGGCTAGTCATCCTGTTTAATTTGTCTTCTGATTAAATCGGAACCATTGAAACAAGTTGTAGTAAGCCTCTGCAAGTAACTGGTTGCTGGCAGACACTCTGTGCTGCAATAAAATGGTTAATCAGCAGTGCCGTGCACTGTAGAGCCGATGCACTGCTGGTTCTGCCAGCCTGAATAGAATATAATGTCTATAGCCTTACTGTTGTGTACAGCCTTTATAGACTGAGCTGAGTAGTGATGCGCAGGTCGACCCGTAACCCACGGGACCCCGCAAATTGACCTGCGGGTCGGGCAGCAGTGATCGTCTCTTAAATCGGTTTGTAAATGATATTTTGACATTAATATTATAATCTATTAATCTATAATCTATTACTGTCATGGCATCCGAAGGTACTGATATGTTGAGCAGGTGTCAGTCCGTGGTCGTTTTCAAAACACACTTGTGTCACGCACAAAAGAAACTTGTTGAAACTTTAAACAATAATTTATTGTACAAAACGGTGGAAACAAACATTGACAAAAACGGTTCCATAATTCATATTAAATTCAAAAGATTACGAAAAAACTGCTACAAGTTAGAGGGAATAGTGATAAAGTGGTAAAACTTGGCATTGATCCACAGCCTCAGACGGATGCGCTAAAGCGTGCCGTGCGCACAAGCTCAGTTGGTAGGTGATACTATATTTTCACATTTTTAACAATGCAATTTAAAAGTTTTGATTTTTATTGATAACCTACATTTACCAACAACAAAAAGACTACAAAAAAAATAATAATAAAAATAATAATAATAATAAAAATAATAATAATAATAATGTAATAATAATAATAATAATAATTAAAAAAAAAAAAAAAGTAAATAAAAAAACGAATATCGAATACCAAATTTTCATAATGAATACCTACCCATAGAAACGAATATTCAAATATCCGAATATTTGGATACAGCCCTACAGATTTTCCGCGAATGTTGGGCCATTTTGCTCGCAAGCTGCAAGCGTTTAGACACACTGAGCCGGATTGGCGAGTTCATCCGAGGTGCCCAATTTTCCTCCTCGTAGGGTATTCATATTGGCGAAACCCTTTCAGTTTAAATAGGCCTTCCACAACAGGAGGGGCTGTTTAAGACTTGTGGGAGGAGCTGTTGATGACGCGGCACGTGCAAGCCACTGGCGTTGGATAAACAGGAAACAGCTGATAGCAGGAATGAGCAAGCAGCTAGTAGCAAGAGGGAAACGCAAATCTGACAGACACTACAGTAAAGATGAGCAACTGAGGAGACACTGAATTGCGCGCCCTCCTTGCCCTCGCAAACTTAGAGGCCATTAACCGTCAGATGACGCACGCTGAGCTCAGATCTGAGCCGCACTCCCCGATTTTGTTTTTATATTGCCAATGCTGAAAGAAGACTGTTGGGCTTTCCTGCAAATTTGCACAATTCCTGTTTAAAAAGGGCTCATAACTGATAACAGTGCAACACGAAAAAGGGACATAGCGCAACAGCAGCACCGTCTAAAACCTGGTCAAGTCACTCGTCACTTACATTTTGATGCACATCTATTTGCCTATGAGCCTATCCCAGCTGACACTGGGTGAGAGGCGGGGTACACCCTGGACAGGTCAAGACAGACAATCATTCATGCTCACATTCACACCTGCGGCCACCAAGTCACCAATAACCTGCATGTCTTTGGACTGTGGGAGGAAGCTGGAGAACCCAGAGAAAACCCACACTGACACTCAGTATGTTTACATCCACAGTTAAGTTGAGCTACGGTTATAGCTTGGCTAGTCCACTTAATTGGACGCCTGTCCTTGTTCCAGTATACAAGCACGGGAGGGGAATCGATTTTATGATCCAAGTATTTCAGACTCCACTACGATAAGTGGCGATATGCCCCCTTTCAGTTTGTTAGCATCAGACCTTTTCCGGATTGACCTATTATGTATGACAAACAAGTTAGCTACGGTTAGCTAGCGGCAATCTGGTACCATGGTGGACAACTTCACGGCTCTGTACATTTCGTCTGTCCAAAAATGCACGCTTCTGGATGTAGATTTTACCATGTTGTTACCGGCTTCTTCTTCTGTTACGTATTTAATGCTGTTATATATGGTGGCATTTTCAGGTAGTTTTTACCACTGGTAAGTCATACTTGTCTGATAAAAATTGTATCCTAAACGTGTCGAGCACAAGTTTTCCTTTCATTTTTTCAGGATTACCAGTGGCTGAATAGCTTGTAGTCATACTGGTGTGAATAGAATCCATACCTGGTTTGCATGTCTTTCCATCTGGTTTAAGCTGGACTCCAGTGGGGCAGGCACAGCTGTAGAAAGGCTGGACTGGTGAGAGTAGGCAGAGGTGACTACAGCCTCCATTATTGTCACTACAGGGAGTGTGGACTGCAGGGACACCAACAGAGAAAGAAGAATAGACAAGTGAAGGAGAAAATATGATTAGCCTCTCAAATCAGCAAGTCCATTTTCTTTGTTCCTGGAAAGGTGAATGTATGGAGATTTTCCCTACAAGAAATTGCAAAGCTATATAAAGCAGTAACTGTGCTCTAGATAGTGTTGCAGAGCCATGTTCACTGAGTTTTCAAATACCCTAATCTACATTGCTGCAAGCTGACCTGTTACTGATCTTCTATAATAAATATATAATTATTTATCAATCATCACAGATCAATGGCACTACTCACTTCTGTTGAATTAGTTCAACATAATGGTTAGTTGGTATATTGATCTCACTTTAATGCACATGCACTGTACTGGACGTACACATGGATAAAACCTTTCACTCACTGTAAGGCTGTCGATAGGCCTCCAGGACTTGGATGTCCATAGGGGAGTAAATCCCACTTAGGATCTCCCTGGTTTTGTCTCCGCTGTGCTTGTTACAGGCATGGATGGAGCGGGTCTGCCAGTCAGTCCAGTATAAGGTCTCCTCAGACAGAGTGAGTGCAAAAGGGTGGGTCAGGGTGCCCTCCACCACGGTTTCACTGCAGGACAAAATGAAAGCTTCATAAGGATCAGAAGAGCATTTGTGTTTTGTGTTGATGTGAAGAAATGGATCTCACAACCAAAAAGGTGCAGCTACACCAATTGTGAAAAACAACTTGGCCAATAGCCAATACCAATCCCAATGTTTTTTGCTGTTGCTGTTAATGGTTTTTTTATTGTTATTTATTCCCCCTTTTGTGCCAGGGAAACAAAGAAGTCTACACTATTAAAAAACAGCACTGTTTTAAAGTCATTCAGCCTTCATTACATTACCTTAAAATTCTTTTTCAGTATCTTTAAAAAATAACTGCTTAACAACATATATATTTAATAGGGGTGGGAATCAACAGAGGCCCATGATATATTATCACCATACTTATGTCACGATACAGTACTATTGCAATTTTAAATGTGCTGCGGTATGCTGAGTATTGCGATATAATATATTGCGATTTTTTTTCCAATTTGAACTGCAAATCTTGCCTCCGAAGTAAAACTATTTCAACATCTGTTTTATCTAATAAGATAAAGTTTTCAGTCTGTTCATCTCACTTCAATCATTTTTATTGCAGCAAAATGTATCTAGTGGACTGAAAAGGCAACTGATTATATTATTCTAGTAGGCTACCTGAAGTTTAACTTGTATTTATAACATAAATTATGTATACAATAAAACAACTGATATTTGACGTCCATGTGACGATACTATATTGCCATACAAAAATATCACAATACTATGGTGTATCGATTTTTCCTCCACCCCTAATATTTGATAATTCCCTCTCTAATATCTATTTCACAGTGCTGTAAAAATATCAACAAATTTCTCTTTCAAACAACTGTAATTTTAAGTTTCTCGTCAAAAACTACATTTTACAAGATTACATCGTACACATGATTATAACATTATAATTTACCTTTGCCAAACATTCTTTTTACCAAAGAGAGCTTAAACACATCATAATGTCACTAAATGCAACCTCTATGAGTTGTTTGTTGCAGGCCAACAGCTGCTTACAGCTAATCTTAACTTGCTTTCCTCCTGCAGACTTCAACATTTATTTATTGTTCACAATGTAGCAGTATCTGGGAAACAATGGGGTGCGTCTTCTGATACTTCAACGGTGAGTTTACTGCGTCTTTTCATCCGGACAACATCCTGGGGAAGATCTGTTTGTCCCAAACACCTTTTCCATGGCTCGATCCCCGGCTCCTCCAGGCTGCATGTCGAAGTCGAAGATACTGAACCCCAAATTGCTCCAGATGGCTGTTCCATCGGTGTGTGAGTGTGTTAAAAACTGAGTAGCAGGTGACACTTTGTATGGTAGCCTCGGCCACCAGTGTATGAATGTGTGTGTGTGAATGGGTGAATGTGACTCGTAGTGTAAAAAGCATTTTGAGTGGTCGGATGACTAGAAAGGCGCTATATAAATGCAGGTCCATTTACCATTATTGTCCCTTGACAACAGGATGCTGTTTAGGCTCATTTATATTCCCTGTATGTACAAAAATAGATACATCTGTTTCAAACATTGTAAATGTACTTCCACTTATACCTCCATGCATCCTTTATGATGGCATAGATACAGTCAATAGATGGCACTAGAGAGCAAAGTCAAAAGTTTCACACAACAACAAACTAGGCGATGGTGGAGGAGGTCATAATATTAAACCTTTAAACAAAGACAGCCCTGTAGACAGCAGTGTTCTGCGGCCATGATATACATCCTGACATGTAGATGGGAAATTTTTTTCTTTACATTACTGATTCATTCCGTTTGGCCATTATTTAAATCAGTGGTTCCCAATTGGTGAATTGTGGTCCAAAAATGGTTCACTGGCCCATTCTGAAAGGACCACAAGTGACTTTCCAATGTGTCAACGTTTGTAAAAAACACACTTTATTTTGAAGTGTGGGGAATTTCCGTCACAGAGCTTTTATTTTGAATTGTGTGACTAATGGACAGCTACTTGACAGAGACAGCAAACTAGCTTGACAACATGACCAAATGCAAGTATAACGCTGAATATATTAAATTGTGTGGACCTTAATCTGACCAAGGAAGAATCTGGACCCTGTGGCCAGACCAGTGGGGAATCACTGGTTTAAATGTCTTCATCACCTACAGTTGTAACTCACTTGGACTACACTACACCTGCCCCCCAGAATCTCCATTGGTACTGCTCTGTTTCATCTGTATCTGCAAGCCTTCAAAAAACATGCACAAATGCAAACAAAATAATCACATAGTATGGACAGAAGGTTGCATCCATCTCTGTACGTATCAGTGCATCCCTAGATCTTAGAATTGTGACTGCATTTACATTATTGCTGCATTTACATTATTGCAGAAGCCTTAAAGTCTGAAGCCCCACTATTGTCTCCTAAACTGCAAAGTTCATTAAACCAAAACAAAGATGTTGGAAAATTTGAACAACAGAGGATTTTTCCTCATCAGCAGTGAAGCTTAAAAAGGGGTCAAATGTGTTATGAGGGTGGTACTAGAGGAACACCATGAGGTCATTAAAATCAAAAGAGCTTTTTCTCTTGGCAGACCATTTTGGCATGATGGTGGTTTTCAAGAAAAGCGCTAAAAATGACAGAACTGAAATATGAAATAAGTTTTTCTCTGGGGAGCACAGATGTGTTACATTTCATTATAAGGGGCTTATTAGGTTATTAGATTTCATGTGTCCAAGTGAAACTTTGGCTTGACGAAGGCTCTGGAGCAAAGGTCAGAAAACCATTTTGAATCCTACCCCTGGGACCATGAATATCTAGACTACATTCCACTGCAATGTAGACAGCAAGTTTTTTTAAACACTTTATTAATAAAGCTACACTTTTAGAAGATTGTGCAGCCGAGACGAAGGTATGCCCTCTCTCAGTCCTTAGGGCCAAACAATTACAAAACGCATGACGGCTACAGGAGTGTGTGTGTGTTTGAGCAAGTGTTAGATTTGATCAAGAGTAAGTGGTTCTTCTCTAAAACACACTTTAGAATCACTTGCAGGAAAATACACTCACACAAACGCACTTAGGCACAGGATCAAAGGAGGGCTTGTATTTAGAATATCAACACACCAGAAACTGGCTTTCATCAATCATCATTTTTAGTCCTCTGTGTGTGTGTGTGTGTGTGTGTGTGTGTGTGTGTGTGTGTGTGTGTGTCTGCGCGCTGTAAAAGCAGAGCTGGCTGCCAGCAGCGGTTAAGGGGAAAAAAGAAAGAGCAAATTTAACCAACTCCAGATTTCAAAGCTCTGTTCAGCTTTTGAGTGGGTACGTGTGTGTGTGTGTGTGTGTGTGTGTGTGTGTGTGTGTGTGTGTAGCAAATGATTTCATTACTCAAGCTGTCAGGTAAATTCAATTTAAAGCCTGCCCCCTTCTAACTGAGCTGTTCATGTTCAAGTCTCTCCTGTGACTCTGAGCATTTGCACAACAGAATATAATATCTTCCTAACATACCTACACACATTTTGGCTACACAATGAGCGCTGTGGTTATACAAAAATACTGTGTTGTGCAGCATTAAGCAATAAGAGGCAGAGCTAGTGTATATAGTGATTGCAGGACTGGCGGGCTGCTGTCATGGGAACAAAGTTGCTGGCTAAGGATACTGCATTTTTCCAACAGCGTTAAACATTTCCACTAAATTTTGGTTTGGATTAAATCCCACCTCTACACCATATTGTAACAACTGTGGAAATAAGCTGCAGGTAAAATCACTCTGGTAGTTAACAAGAGAACAGCTGCCTTTTAAGTCTTTTCAGACTCTGTTTTGTAGACAGTTAACTAATACGTTAAAATAGAGTGTGAGTAAAGTGTGTGAAATTTTATCTTTATGTTTTTAATAGTATTTTGGGGCATTTTATGCCTTTTATGACAACCAAGAATGGAGAGATGACAGGAAAGAGAGATGGGGAATGAGATGCAACAAAGGTCTTTGGCTGTTGGTGGTGTGTCACACGTTGTCTTTTCCAGTTTTTCTTGGTGATCCTGAAGAAGGTCTCCATCACATCTCTGTCCAAGTTAGGAGTAAAATCTTCATACATAGTAACGTACACACAAGCTCTCTCTGGGTTGGCATTATCGACAGCTTCCAACAGAAACTGCTCGCTGAAATTCATCGCATAAGAAAGACAGTTTCTGTTGGCACTGCAAAGGCACCAATAGTCCATGTTTGCTCTCCATAGCTCAGGTTCTGGAGGCTCCCTGCCGGCCATATCCTCTTGTATGACAGCTTCAGCCTCTCTCTGCTGCATTTCTCCACAGTATACTTTGGCTCTAATAAATACAGTTGAATATCCAAGTCAGCCAAAGTGCTGTAAAATGTCTATAGCATCCTCTGCATGCATTATTTGGGATGACATTTTGCTGTTGGAAATGTAGCTTGTTTGCAAAACAAGCGCAGAGAAGCAGTAAGTTTTGTTTTTGAGCAACATCTAGAGCATGCACCCTGGCTACCCAGAAGTGAAATCCAGCCTGTGGTTCTTCCTGCCTTCAACTACGTCACTGGTACGTCACTGGTACATCACTGGTACGTCACTGGATGCAGGAAGAAGAACAGATTTTGTAGCTACTGAGCTCAGGTTTCTCGGCCAGTATAGCAAGCACTGAGGATTTTAGTGCTCAACTGACTACCAGCAACACTGACTGGACATCCACAGCTTGCAAATTTACCCTTTAAGCCCCTTTCAGACATGCACCCCTCTACAAAACCTGGTCACTTTTACCTAAAAGTCACAACGCAAATCTTAGCAGATCGGACCTCAAACCCTCTGAAACAAAGAGAACAATAAGATGTGGAGAAAGAAGGCTGATAGATGGACTGAATGAGAGAAGGAAAGATTGAGCTATGAGTGATGCACTGGGAGTGTGTGTAATGCTGTGTGTGTTTTGACTGGGGCCTCCATACCACAGCTCTGTTTGTGTTGGACAACTCGCTCATACTCTCTCTCTCTCTCTTTCTCTCTCTCTCTATTTTTCTTTCATTCTGTCTGTACAGCTATTTTTCTCTTCCCCTCCTCCTTTTCTCTGCTGGAAAGAAGTTGAACAGGGTGGAACTCAAAGAATTTTCTGCTGAGATTTAAAGTTTCAATAGGGGATCCTGAAATAGTATGTTGTACTGTAACCTGTATATGTGCTAGAATTCTATTTCCATCTAATAAAACAGGAAATGTAAGTTTGTCCTAATAGCAGCTGTTTATTGACACAACCATATCAAGTAAGCTACTGGTTTACGACTTTTCTTAAATGCCCAGGCTGGACCTGATGATGGAAAGCAGCATGTGAGTATTTGGCTGGATCCAGTAGAGGAGCAGGTATGTACAAGGCAAAGATACCCACAGAGTGCAACACACATTAACCAGTCACACAAACAAATTGTTCATAAATGGAAGAATTTGCAACCTAATTGGATTACATGATCAATTATATGCTTGGGGAATTCAAATTCAGGGGGAGGGTTACAGGACTAGCAACATGAAATATGCCAACTAGAAAAGTACACTTAATGGAGTGTAGATCTCTGCCAGATGGACAATCAGCTGCCAGGGCTAATGGCGGCCACTCTCGACAATTCTTGTAATTCCAGTAGATGTTGACACAGCACAGCGGGTTTAAGAAGCATCCCAGAAGTTAATAAAAATACAGGCCTCGTCTGTATTTGACAGAGCACTTGCACTTGAAAAAAACAACCAAAAACAACATATAAATAAATATAAATAATAAATATAAATCAATAAATGCCATGGCATTTAGTTCCATGTCTTTCTCTTTCGTTCAACTCTCTTTTTTTCTCCGCCTCATCTCCCCCTCATGAAGAACACACTGTGTGTGTGTGTGTGTGTGTGTGTGTGTGTGTGTGTGTGTGTGCGTGCGTGTGTGTGTAGCCCATAGCCCCGCCTCCCCCACAGAGACAAAGACACTCAATGACAAGAGGTTTTTTGCGGCCGGAAAAGTTACATTCTCCCTTTAAATTTACTGTGCAATTAATTGACTTATCGCATATCGCGCCAGGCCTAGGCAGAGGGCTCACCTTTGGTGGGGTTGGTTGTACTAGCCGAGGTGTTTCAGACCAGAGGTTTGGGGGCGTGTTTTTTGCAGCGGAAAGAGTTTTAGTCCAATCACCTCCAGCAACAGTGTTCTTGTCATCTTTCTTCCCAACAGAATCAAAGTAATGGGAATATTTCCAGCCGCTAATGTAAGCGTTTCCAACCAGCTTGCAGCTTTATGTCGTGCATGCGCAGCTTGACAATTATGAAAATGAGTTTGTTGATTTGACTGTTGTATTTTAACTCAGTCATGATGTGATAAAAGTAACATTGTAACAACTTGTTCGGTTTTGGAGTAACTGTAATATTATTACTGAAATTTCATTAGTAACTAGTTACACTACGTTACTGGAAAAAGTAATAATAATATTACTAAACGCATTACTGCCCAACAATGCCCAGAGCAGGCCATGTTGTCCTGCGGACAGGCACTGTATGTTAAATATGGATATAAAACAACTCTTTTAACAATTGTGAATCACCACAACAGGTCCTTGAGCATACCGTCACATATATGCACAAAACATATGAGGCTGATTGGTCCAGTAGTTTGCTAGATTAGCTGCAGACAAACAAACAGACAGACAGACAGACACACACACACACACACACACACACACACACACACACACACACACTCAAATGCATGATCCCCTCCAGGCTTACACCTGACTGAGATAAAAACAGACCATTATCAAAGACATCCAGGTTTCGAATCCCAGTGATTGCAACTCTGGCTTAGCCCAACATTTGAACGACTGGTTGGGGTAAAACTAGGGAAATGCAAGTATAGCATTAGGTAACTTACATGCTACGTGCACCGGGCTCCACAAACAAGCGCACACCTACAAACCTCAGCTTGCATGCCTCTAAAATTTGAACCATAAGGGTCATGGCTGCACCTACTGTGCAAAGCTCCTTGCTAATGACTGCACTGCTGGTCTGTGGGACCCCAGACCAAACTACTCAGATTACTAAAGCCTCATTCCAAAACAAACTTGTTTATAAAGAGAGAGAAAAGAAAGAAAGTAGAAAACAATGCTGCTACTGCACTGAGGCCACTGTAAAAGTTTTAACTGAAAACCACTATGTTCAGCTTATCCTTGCTCTCTGTAAATATGTCTGCTACCATCATTATTGCTACGCATCCACCTGCACTCTGATTCTAGTCATCTGGGGGAGGATATTTTCTATCATCACACCACTATCTCAGTCTGTTACTGACTTCAGTGTATGCTGCAGGGAGGGATGAGGCCTGAGCCAAGATAGCAGAGATGGACTGTACTGCCAGGCTGTATTCTCATATCAATAAACTTTTGTTACGTGTGTTGGCTGACTCAACTCTATCTGTAAAAATCCTCTCCACTCTCCCAATGTAAATTCATTTAATATTACAGCTATTTAGGATTAAATTGAACTTCTTAAAATAAGTGCAAAGAACTTTTTGTCAATAAACTATATTCACTCCAACACACACACACACACACACACACACAAACGGCCATACCGTGCTGATCCATCCAGGTTAGCTCTGTGAATGAAGCTGAGTTTGGCGTCTGCCCAGTACAGCTTCTGTTCCACCAGGTCTATGGTAAGACCATTGGGCCAGTATATGTCCACAACCACTATAACTTTCCTGTTAGAGACAGAGACACACAAAATGATCCTACAGCTACTGCTTTTGTTATTCTTGTAGAACTGTTACTGCATCTGTACATCAGGCTGCACTGAGAATACTGTACTATAAAAGGACTGTAAATATATAAGTTTGGTTTGCGTTACCTGTTGCTACCATCCATACCAGCACGCTCTATCCTGGGCTCCTCTCCCCAGTCTGTCCAGTACATGTAGCTGGAGGGAAAAATACAAAAGACATGTGTCAGTGAAACCAATCATTTAAAGGTAAGAATGAGTTTACCAGATTGCTGGTCACTACTTTTGAGTCAGTTACTTGGACAGCTCCTCACTCTGCTGCCTTTATAAACAAATACATTGCTTCCCTCTGCTCCTCTTTGCTATCTGATGCCTTTCTGTGCTAATGCTTCTGCTAATTTCAGCCCACTGAGCATGGGCAATACCAACATTTTACAACTGTTTTTTAACTTTCAATATTTTTTTTTGTTTTCCCTGAGAGCTTTGATTGGGTCCAAAAAAAACAGACTCAACCCTACATGAAGTCTGACCTGAGCCTGAAACAGCAGCAGTTTTGGGCCTGATAAAAAAAAACCTAAATTTCCACGATAAATAAATAGATATTAAAACATTTATACAAGCTAAGGGCTGTCATCATTACTTGCACCACTTATTTTCCTTCTCTTTCATCTGTTTTAAAAGTCTTGTCTGCTCAGTGTCTCAGGTACAACAGGTTTGGCAGAACGGGCCCCTTGTTGCTTTTCGATCTTCGAGAGGACTGTCCACATGGATGCAGCGCGCAGATGATGATTACCACTCTTCACAGCACATTGCGCACATCTCTCCCACTGCTGGGGAAGCAGAGGCAAACACTGCCAGCTAAGTCCCCTGGCTGCCCCCCTCTCTCTTTCTATTGTTTTCTCTCCAGTCCAATGCAATTTTTTTTTGCATTTATGCATGAGTACTGCCACTGTCATGTGTCTCCTGTTACTGTGTGTACAGTAAATGGTAATATGATAATAATGTAAATCATACACTATTCATGAAACTACACAGACATATAAGACATATATAAGACAGTAAGATCTGCATTAAGAGCAAAACAACACAAAAAACACCGCAAAATTGATGCAAGCCCGACCTGAGGCCTGAGAGAATATTCTGTCGAGTCAGGTTGGGCCGAACCAAAACTCTATTTTGCCTTACTTATTTTAGTTATTTTATTGTTAGTTATCACCCCATCCCCATGTTTCTCTCTCTGTTTCTGTTGCATATATCATTTAATTTTCTTGTCATTTGTCATTAATTGTCTCTATTTTACTATCCATCCATTTCTAGGACTTTTTTTCTAGAGTATGTTTTTGTATATCTGTGATCACTATAATAATGCTTTTCAACAAACAAGGTATTGTGCATTTAATGGGAAAAAAACGAAGTAAAAATGTAAAGAAAGTGGATATACTGGTACATTGGTGCAGTACTAGGAATATGTTTTTTCTATATTATAAATTAAATCTACAGTGATATGACTGGCTCTGCTCTGGTTGAGTTCACAGTAAAATAAAGTGAAGCCCAATAAATCAGCTTGTCACACAACCAATAGTTATTGGCTTGAATGCTACTTATTAAATGCTGTAGCACTGTGTGTGTGTGTGTGTGTGTGTGTGTGTGTGTGTGTGTGTGTGTGTCTGTGTGTGCGTGCGTGTACACCTACAGTTTCAGAATGAATGAATGTGATCTGCATTCCTTTGGCTGACAATGTAGACACGACAATTACAGAGCAGAAACCAGAGAGAGAGAAAAGAGGAAAAAAGAAGGGAGATCAAGTGGTGTAATTTCATTTGTGTGATTTATTCCTGTGCATGTATACATTTCTGCAATTTTTACAATGCAAGAGTGAACTATAATGCACAAAAGTAAACTGTAAAAAATCATCTTCAGCTGTTGTGTCTGCATTGGGTTTGAACACTTAACTTGTCTTGAACTAATATGAATTTGACTACCTTGACTTAAATCAGAAGATGCAAAGTAAATTGGCCTGGCTTAAAAAATGAACGTAGATGTGCTCTGAGGCCAATTTATTTAGATTTAGGCAAGACAAAACTCAAAACCAAATAGCCTGAATGAAACTGACTTGACATGAGCACATATGGACAAGTGGTGAATTAGTTCAAAGGATAAGCCGGATGTGATGTGATCTCAGCACCTGAGCCCCTTACATATCCAGCATTTGGCTGTTTCTTCATTTAAAGTGATCTAGATTTAAATGCATTTGCACTGTTTTATCCTTGTTATCCATCTACATTGTTGCATGTTGCTGACTGTGTTTGTTCTTATGATGAATGTGTTTATATACCTGGCTGCAACCAAATGTCCTCTGGTGGGATAATAAAGTTGACTTGACTTTATTTGACTTGGTGTTTTAGATATGTGTCTTACTGTCGGCAAATCCTGTTAACAGACCCCTACCTGTAGACCCCAGGAAGACTAGCAACCACTTTGTGGAAGCTAATGGGGATCCAAATAAAGAGCGAAGAATAAAGAACACCTACAATCCATTAGTACAGTTAAGCCCCGTTTCCACCAAACACCTTCGGTATGGTACCTTTGGAACCAAAAGTAACCCTTCAGACATGGTACCTAGGCCCTAGCGTTTCCACTGCAAACAGTACCCTTAAATGAGGCAAGAGTTTTGTCACTTAATGCTTTGTTCAGCACTCACTGTATTTACTCATTACTGGTGACACAGATGGAAGTCTGCACTTTGTTTACTGTCCACAGAACAAGGCTGCACGCCAACATTTTATGAACAGAACAAAACAAAACAGGCTGCAATGAGAGTCTCTTGATGAGATATTTAAAAATAGCAGGTTTGTGCAGCTAGTCCTTCTCAAGCAAACTCAAGAGTTTAATGTTGCCGGAGCCCACAGGAACGGCGCTCCGCAGCGCTTAGGATATATGCAGTTCACATAATCCGGTCGAAATTAAAATATATAAACGCTTGAAGATCCACTCATTACTAAAAGTGTATGTCACATAAAAACTAATGGAATGGTCAAAGTTGTCACAGTGAAATTTAATGTGTGTTGATCGTCGTCAACTCTTGCATTGAGTATTACAAGTTAGCGTTCCACCTTAAAAGTTGCTGGCAGTCGGCCCAGTGAATTAAATTATGTATTTCTCAGTCTACAGCTCCTGCAAGAGGCAGCAAAACATCCTTTCATTTTATCATTTCAGTTTACTCATGTATAAAACTCTACACAATATGAACAGTGGTTTCTGCCTCAAAACCAGCCACAACTCAGCCCTGAGCAGAGTGACCATCTGGAATTGACGAATCAACAGACTACAGTGTTGTCACCTTCACCTTTTAGTACCAGATCTGTGCGCTAAGTACCCCAACAGAGGGAGTACCAAAAATGGGGACAGCACAGAACGGTTCAATTGGTACCATCCACAACTTTTCACAGTGGAAACGGAAAAAAACGTATAGCAAACTGAACCGTCTGAAACTAAACATCTGCCCTCTGATATGAACTCTGAATAATTCACATGCTGCTGCTGAAACTTTGTTTCCTATCTGAATATATCTTTACAAATGATGTCACTGATAACTCCCATTAATATTGGTAACAGACTGACAAAAACACCATGGTATTTAAGTACTCTGAGGAGTGTGTCTTTGTTACCGTTGAGCAGGGTTGAGAGCGATTGCCCTGGGCTGGTCCAAGTCCATCCAAAACAGGACCTTCCTGGAGGTGCCGTCCAGATTGGCCACTTCAATCCGATTGGTCTCTGAGTCAGTCCAGTAGAGCTTTCTACCCAACCAGTCACAGGCCAACCCGTCAGGACTGTCCAGCCCTGATACTACCACAGTCTGGCCAGTTCCCAACGCCTCTTTAAGGGCTGCAACCAGAAAACATACACAGTGTGAAATGATGATGAAAAGAGAGAGGGTGCACTCTTCATCCAAACACTTAGCATATGTAGCTTCTAAAGCCACAGTTAAAGTTGATCTTCATGAGGAAACCTTCACTAAGCAATAGAATAAACACAGGAAACAGTGTGCAGTCTTACAGTTGGAGGACTGATTCCAGTGCGTCTGTTTGATGGCCTCCTCGCTGACATCTGTCCAAAATATCAGGCCCTCAGAATACAGGAAGTCCACAGCTGCTGCATCCTCTAGGTCACTAACAACGATAGCCGACTCACCCCGCACACCCTCTGCATCTACCAATCGAACATCGCGCCGGTTGGCAAACAGGAGGAGAGGTGAGCCTGGAAAAGAGAAAATTACATTTAAACCTTTTTTATTCAAGAATCAAGTCTACTCTGTTTTGTAAGCTTAAAAAAATCATTGTATCACATGTTTTGAATGCTGTTATTCGCTGACGGCATAAAACGTTAAACCCATCTTAAGTAAGCTGACTACTTGCCCAGCCTGTCCATATGATAAGCACAGCAATGACCTGACACTGGCTTATAGCTAAGGTGCTGCAGTTCTTATACTAGTTATTTGATTTAGGGTTGCAATGATATTCAATAAATCATACCAGTTGCGCTGCATCTGCTACGACAAACAGCTGAATCAAACTGCTCATTTAAACTCATCTAATTGCAGCTCTCATAGGAGCTAATAAATTGTCTCAAACTTAAACTTAAACTTAAACAAGTTCTTCTCAGCCCAACATTATAATTTGTCTCAGTCCTGATAACTGTGCCACAGTAATGCAAAAAGGTGGTGCTTTCTGGGTAGGGTTCTGGTGGTTGATTAATGCTTATTTTTGTGTGTATTTATGTGGACTGGCTCTAGGAGACTACAAATGTATAACTGAAACCCTGCTTTACATACTGGGGGTGTGGAGTCTAAAAGATTTTTAGAAAGATATTTAGCCTAACCATTGAGTTGCATTATGGGATATGTAGGATCAAGTGTTTAAGATCTAGGGCAAGGCAATATGGAAAAAATTGAATATCATGATATTTTTTACCTAATCCTCGATTGATATCAATATTGACATTATCTTATAGGGTTGACTATTGGTGCTTTCAAAAAAAATTTACACAGTGGCTATAATGACTATATGGCTATAATAAGTGGGTAAAGGCAAGTAATAGTCTGAAAAGTTCAGAAAATGATTTTACTTTACAGTAATACAGCCTTTAAAACCAGACAAAGACAACACTTACAATATTTCAATATCCAGAATCTAAGACAATATTTATCATGATCTAGATATAATATCATTATATCATCAATATACTGCCCAGCCCTATTTGGAGCTTGACCCTTACTAAAGTAGAAGTCAGAACATCTCAGCCTCTGCAAAGGATGTGCACAATTACTGGAATAGTTGATTAAACACTGCTATCCTTGCTAGTCGGCACCAGATATACTTAAGGGTCAAACTTATAAGGCGACCCTGAAAAAATGGGAGGAGTTAAGACTGGCAAACAAGATCAGTGGCTCTGATCAACAGCTCTCCCTCTCTCTCTTCCTTATATGTGTGTCTTGACATATGTGTGTGCACACTCATGCATCACAGTACCGTGCGCGTGTGTGTGTGTGTGTGTGTGTGCGTGTGTGTGTAATGCTCTGTACAAAGTGCCACACATTTACTGTGTAAGTATACAGAGTGATTTTGTCATTTTCATATCACTTATACGCAGTGTTGACGAAAAAAAAACGTTAAAAAAAAAGGTTCACTCTTAGACACCCGGCAACCATAATTTGTTCTTATATCAGATTGAAATACACATTTGCTGACACATCAAGATGATTGTGAACTTTTGAAATACCATCATTAAGTCTGAAAAGCATCAAAGGGACTTTATGCTGAATGTTTGAAGACCTGGTGTACCCAGATTATTACTTCAACAACCCCACAATGCCACATGCCACAGTCAAATTCTCAACAATACACCAAAATACCAAACAAGCTTTGGCACCACACGGGACTGCTGCTGATTGGTACAAAGCTCAAGTATGCATTGTCAAAAACATAAAATCTCAAGCATTATTGCCATGTGGCAACAATCTGCAGAGGCCGTTGAAAAGAAAAAAGACAAGGAACAAGGCCAAGAAGATCTACTGTATGGACAAACAAGTTTTCTGTTAATATTTGTGTTCTTAAATGCATCAAACAATATCAGATGAAAAAGAAAAAGAAACTAATTGGATGATTTATAGAACGAAGATATTTACATTTCCTAATCAATATGCCAGGAAAATAAAGGTTTTAAACCCTGAGAGTCTGCCTTTAAAGTATGTGCATGTCAGGGTCCAGATTCCATAACTCTGCCTGTGTGTGTGTGTGTGTGTGTGTGTGTGCAGCTTAGTGACTCAGGGATGTTGACCTCCCACTGTTGGAGGCGGTAGCTGTCACAGCAGCTGCCACAGTGCCTCTGGGGAAGCTTGTGGTTTTGGCCTGGCAGGGTGGCAGAGCAGCTACGCTGTGGTTTGGCACAACATGCTCACTGTAATCCCACAGCATTAAGACACACTGTCTCTGTCCGTGTGGACACTGTCCCAAAACAATACCCAGTCCTTAAAAGAGACACAACATTCCGGTGAATTTCATTCATTAACTGAATAATCAAAAGGACTTTGTGACTGACATCAATGCGGATTTGAACTTTGAACTCATCTTTATGGTCTAAACAAGCATGTTTATATGACCGCAACTAAGTTTCGTGCTTTCCCCTCAGACCTATCATGACAAGTGTATTCTATTGTTTTACAGTTAGTTTCTATAATATTTTGGCGGTCCTGCCTTCCATGTGACATATGCAAATGAGAGTAGATGGAGAAAATAACTTGTAAAATGCCAAGCTTTGATGCTCACAGTGTCAAACCCGAAAAAATGGCCAGGTTTAACAACAATTCACAGATTTACATAATACATTATTGTAAGAGTATAGTGTAGTGTGTGTGTGTGTGTGTGTGTGTGTGTGTGTGTGTGTGCGTGCAGAGTGTTGGTCAAGCAAGAGGGACAGAGTGATGGTGGATGCGCTCAGAGCAGACAGCTGTTGGCGACTGCAGCAGAGGGGAAGTAATCAGTGAACACTGAAGACTGATTTGTTACAATACTGTAACTTACTGGAGATCAGTATGGTTTGTATTTATTTTTCATATATTAACAGGGCTGGGTATCAGTGCTTGATAACTTTAAGTTATCAGTGAGGTATCAGTGAGGTAAGGGGGTGAAGCTTGATATCTTTAAGGTATCAACCGAAATAACCCAGTACGGACTAGTATCAAAATGTTTCCAGTCAAATGATACCTGCACTCAATCCTTTCTGCGCCAGGAGTGTGATCCAGACAGTCCAGACTCGCCACCAAATCAGCAAACTTTCTGTTACTTAAGTCTCCGGAGCAGCTTTCCGGTCAGTTCAATGTCTGCCCAGTTAGCACAAACTAACATGGCAGCAGTTAATAACCATAAAGTAATGTAAGCCATGTGATGCAAACAGTTAGCCCTTTCAATGTGTGTGTGTAGGTGAGTGAACTCATACAGTGTCCCCTGGACAGAGCTCACATTCCCCCAGCAGTAGCAACCCGTTCAGTCTGTGGGGTGGTGAGGTGGAACTAGTGCTGCACGATTAATCTAATCGCAATCGATGTCAGGCTGTGCGATTACATAACCGCATAAAAGGCTGCGATTTGCGATTTAATGTAGGCTAAATAAATGTTAACATGTGTGCCTGTGAACGTGACTGCCTCTCCTGTAGTGTGTGGAGTTTGTCGACATCACACCCACAAGCTATCCTGGTGCGTGCAGCCGGCGTGCAGCAGTGACCAACACAGACGCTGAAGAAGAGCATGAGCACGACGATGAACAGGCGGAGTTGGTGGCGAAAAAAACATTTGTTACATGGCGATACTTTGGATTCAGGTACAGCAACGTTGAACAGAAAGACGTGCTGTTTAAGTGTAAAAGTTAAAGTCGCCACGTCCCGCAGCAACACGACCAATCTATATCAGCACTTGAGACGGGACGTGGCGACTTTAACTTTTAAACTTTAACACAGCACGTCTTTAAGAAAGACGTGCTGTGTTAAAGTTTAAAAGTTAAAGTCGCCACGTCCCGCGGCAACACAACCAATCTATATCAACACTTGAGACAGTACAGCACAGGGAAAAGTATGAAGAGTGCATGCGAGAGAAAGCCGAGCTGTGTAACGTGAAAGACAAAGAGACAACTGAAAGCCGCCAGAGCCTCAAAAAACAACATCCAAGCACAGTTAAGCGAGTGTCACAGGGAAATCATGGACTCCATAACAAATGAAAAATTGGGCAATTTTGCTCGGGTTCGGCCCACATGACATGCTGCTGTGTTGTGCCATGGCGTGCTGGAATTTGTCATTTACGTGACACCACCTGAACGCAACACAGGCTCACTCCACTGTGTGTACAGTTCCGTGCTGCGCTGCTGTGTGAGTAGCGTGTTTGACTGTGCTCAGTCTGTTGATGGTCATTGACACACTGTCTGTCCATAACAATAACTATGTCAGGTCAGTGCCCCCCTAATATAATGTAGGGGAAACACTGAATCAAGCAAAAAGACTCATGATACCATTTATTTATTATAGTTTATTGTAATTATATTGTAATCGCAATCGCAAATCGCAATATTGTCCACCATTTTTATCAAATCGTGCAGCACTAGGTGGAACGCATTGTATATGACAGAGCTGGCAATTCAGCGTGCGGATTTGCCATCAAAATGTTTGAAAGTATGGCTATACTACACGCCACTCCATTCGCACTATGGGTATGGAATGAAGTAATCTATTGTAGGGATGTCAGTTTCAGTTCAATTTGCTTCTGATAGATTTTAAAAGTTCATTTTAAAGCCAATATCAGCCAATACTGATGACATTATCCCTAGAAAATGTTTCACCTTTTATTTGCCTTTTATTCTATTTTCTGTCAGCTTTGCTGGCATAGCCGGCCAGCCGTGTTAACATATGGAAACATGCCCACAACCTCTGGTGTCCACTGATATCTTAGCCGCTCTGCACTCTGCACCACACAGGTCGGGAGGGAGCCATGCTGACACTGCTTGTCAACAATACAACTACGGCTTTTAAAACTGAGCCACTTACTCACTGCTCATGCTAGCTAGCAGATTCGATTAATAGTTAACCATTGACATCCCTACTCTATAGGTAATGTTATCACTATAAAGGTACTGGTATTGGTACTTGTATCTTAATTTTTTAATTGATACCCAGTCCTAGATATTAATATTCAGCTGGGCCTGCTGTTCTACAGT